ATTCAAGGACATCAATCATGCACAACTTCTTAGGGGTAAATATGTAGTGTTTTCCATAACGCTACACTTCATTGTTGTTATTGCTTTCATTTCCATGTTCTCTTTTTCAAACTTCTTTGAGATGCTTTACTTGAGGCGAAGGTCTATCGGAAACATCTTCTCCATCTTTATGATGTAGGGGTAAGGTTTGCATATATAACCATACAAACATGTCATTCACTCAGAGAACAAATGATTTTAGAGAAGTTTCTTGCTCAGTCACTCGGAGAACAAACTACTAAATCACTATTATTACAATCTTTACGACGATATACTATAGGTCCTAAATTTGAGTTGCTTCCAATATACGTCTACCCAAAATGGAGACAAATTAGACACGCAGAAACCAATTAAACAACTTCCTAGCAGCTTAATTTGCTATTTTGTACATAACAGGAAGAAATAAGAGCAACAATCTGAATCAAGAAAGAGAACTGCAAAAGTTGATTCCAGATTTACTGACCAATAACCCAAAGAGGAAACAATCTCAGCTTTTTCGAGTTCATATCAGTACTTAAATAAATACTCAGATAAGTGAACCCCAAAGGATACTGTAAATAAAATGGCACTAGTACAACGCAAATAAATGTACTTCCCAATGAAAACCTTTATCAAAACAATGTACTCAAAATCGAACCTTTAGCCCATTTTCATTCACAAAAATTAAACCCCAGATGGTAAAAATGAGGATTTAGGTAAAAGCAAAACAAAGGAAAACTGTAAAACTAAAGAAAGATTTGATTGGGTAGCTCTTCAACATACCTTTTAAATTTGATGGATAAAATCCAAAAGACCAATTTGACCACGCCACTCCGTTGTTTGATCCTGGTAGGTCTTCTTTTTCTTCTTCTTTCTCTGCAAGCCTAAAACCCAACAAAGATACTTTGATTCCTTAGTTGGTAAGACATAACATAACATAACATAACACAGCAGCTCATGATCTACGTATGCCTTGCATCACACCTCAACCCCCATCCCTCCACCCCAAACCTAATTCTGGCATTCTCCCACTTTAAGACCAAGGGAAAATTAATGTACATACACTCACATCTCATTCTTGGTAATGTCCACACACGTGCTATGCTATTACTGGTTTCTTACATGGATATAATTTCAAGTGCAGACGGTAACGATGATGCATTCAAGTGCCTATTTAAGTCGATTAAGCTAGCACCGTAAACTCTAGTAAGACACATACTAAACACCAAGACAACAATGTACATAATGAGAGCCGAGTCAGAGAAGAGTATATATTAATCTGTGGATATATACAAACATGTCATTCACTCATAGAACAAATGATTTTAGAGAAGATTTCTTTGCTCAGTCACTCAGAGCACAAACACCTAAGAAATCACTATTTTTATAACAATCTTGAAGATGCTATTCTATAGGTCATTAAATTTCAGTTGCTTCCCATATACGTCTACTAATATTTGCACCCAAAATGGAGACAAATTAATCAAGCAGCACCCAACTAAACAACTCCCTAGCAGCTTAATTAGCTGTTTTGTACATAACATCCACAAATAACAGCAACAATCTAAATCAAGAAATGGGGATTACAAAAGTTAATTCCAGTATTTACAAACCAATAACAACACAAACTGAAAACTCAAAGAGAAAAAAAAAATCTCAGCTTTTTCAAGAACCCCAAAAGAGGGCATTCTGAAAATAAAATGGTACTAGTACAACAACACAAATAAATGTACATCCCAAAGCAAAAAAACACAATCTTTATCAACACCATGTACTAAAAATCCAATCTTTAACCCATTTTCATCACAAAAAGCAAACCCCAGATGGAAAAAATGAGGATTTAGGTAAAACCCAACATGGGAAAACAGTAAAACTAAAGAAAGAATTGATTAGGTAGCTCTTCAACATACCTTTTTTTTCCTTTGATTGATAAAATCTAAAAGACCAGTTTAACCCTTATAGGTGTTTTTTTCTTCTTCTTGTTTCTCTACAAGTCTAAAACCCAACAAAGATTCTTTGATTCCTTAGTTGGTAAGAACATAACATAAACTAAAACAGCAGCTCATGCTCTACATTTGCCTCACTTCACACCTCAAAACCCCCTATTCTGGCATTCTCACACTTTAAGACCAAGGGAAAATTCATTTATAATCACTCACATATCAATTCTATGTATCTTCTTACACGTGGCGTGTTATTATTGGTAGGAAGCTGAATTATGATGGACCCACTTCAGTCTTAAGATAATCTTGACCGCTGAATAATGATGAGAGAGAGATAGAAAGGATAGAGACTTGGTAGTAAAAACTTAGGGATTTCCGCACAAATAGCTCGACAGATTTATTATTTATTTTTTCTGGTCAATATATATAAATTAGGTTGATTTTTTACCAAATTATTCCTTTGGTTTCATTTTATTTGTCTTATCCCTTTTTCATTTCGTAATGAATGTTTTTTTCCTTTTTTGTTTTTTGGCAATTTTCCAATTTTAAATTTCGACATGATACATTTAAGAGCGTATGACTAAAGAACATTCCAGATATTTTTATGTACTTTTTGTCATCATAAAATTTTACAAATAAATATTTGTTTAGAATTTTATTTCAAATTAAAATCAGACAAATATATTAATACGAATATTGTAGTAAAGTAATGAAAGAGGACAAAGAGGAATGAGTGAATGGGGACATTATAAAATATAAACAAAAAAAAATGGGACATTATAATATGATGTTTTTAATGTATTTTGTAGGGTTAGAATAATATGTGGGACCCATTGGGTGTATTTGAGTTTCCAATAATGAAAAAGGAAAGCCACGTGGACGGTTATGATTAGGTAATTAAGATGGATCTATTAATGAGGACTTTCCTCTTGATAAGATAGGTAAAGAAAGGGAAAGAAAAGATACCAAAGAGAATTTCAACTTTTTATATGCTTATAAAAATGGAGGAGAAAGTGAAATGAGATTAGGATTAGATAATCATCAATTAAACTAGTAAAATATTAAAATAGGTTTAACTATCTATGCAGAGTTCTCAAATTGAGGATCTATCAAAAATCATTTTTCTGTATTTCAAATAAAAATAATATTTATGTACCCACTACGTTCTTCATACCTTACTTATGAAATTACATACAGAGAGTAAAAAACTAACAAAACACCTTAAAAAAATATTTTCTTTGATTTATTATTTGTCATTTTTTTCTTTTCCATATCTTTAAGAAAATATTAATTTAATTAATTATCTTTATTTATCCTTCAATTTTATATCATTTTATTTTTATTATATTAATCTCTCTACATATATTTACAATAAGAGTAAAAGTTTTAAATTAATTATATTGTCCATAATAAGTTTTAAGTCATTAGTAATAAATAGCAAAACCCAAAAAAAAAAAAAAGGTATTCCGCTACAAGTTATTATTTCCAATGATGACAACAAAAAGTTATATTGTCTCCATGTACAAGTGAAAAATATTAATAAAAATGGACTACACTCATCAATAATTCAATATACTTTGGATCTAATTATCTGACGTTTTGGTACTTTTAGAGGTCATTTTATTAAGATATCTCTGATTAAAATTATATTTTTTAAATTGAAGGTATACATTTAATCTCAATTTTGATCCTAAATATTCCAGCTTAATCATCCAACTTGGTATTATTTAATTTCATCTTCTAGATGAAATAAATTATATAGTAATTTGGGGAGGATATGGAACAGTTACGATTTCACATAAGTTTAATAATTTTTTGTCCAAATATATAAATTAAATATTTGTAAATATTTTGTTAAGAAATCAATTCCTACTAACTTGAAATTTATGTAAAACTCATAAACTTTTGAATCTTAAATTGATCTTCACATCATAGCAGTTCCAACTTCCAACATAATTTAGTACGAGTATTATTTTAGTATTACTTTTACTATTGTTATCTTATAAATTTTCGATTTAATTAACAAACATAAAAATCATATTTGTATGCTATAGCTATAGTTTGTATAATTGCGCTTCATAGCAAACTTTATATTTGCTATAGAGCATCAGATTTGTATAAATCGTTGGCAGTCTCTCATTTGTATAAATCGTTGACAACCTCTCGTTTGTATAAATCGCAGGCAGCCTCTCAATTCAATTTTATGTGTTTGTATATCTGCATAAAGTTTGAATTTGTATACAATTGAATCGAAATAAAACATTTGTATATCAAATCTCTCTCTCTTTCTCGCTTTATACAACACAAATTATACATTGTAATTTGTATAATCTGTGTTTGTATAAAGCGAGAAAGAGAGAAAGACAAAAGAGAATTGGGCAGGGGAAGATCTGTACTTGTATAATTATAAGTGTATAGGACGAAAATATATGTATTTGTATATACAGTTTTCTCTCGCTTTATACAAACACAAACCCATTTTATACATTTGTGTTTGTATAAAGTGAGAGAAGCGAGGACTGACGAGCGAGAAATGGAGAGTGATATTTGATATTTGAAAAACTTGAACTAACCCGATCATGTACGTACACCCCTAGCGGAAAGGATCGATCGATGTGGAAAAAGTCTCGAGGACAATTATGTCTCTAACCATACCAATGCATGCATTAGAACTAGAACGGAGCATTGCATTAGAACGAATGCATAGAAATTCATGGAGCATGGTATATATTACGCATTAGAAGTTGAAAAAATGTACTCCCCAAACAAGGTACTAGCTAGTAATACACAAAGTTATAAATACATGCAAACCACCCCTAAGTAAATAGTAGACTTTTTCAGACAAACGTACGTACACATGGAGCAATATATATAGAATTGAATCCTATAATCTAAGAAACTACTCAATTGTCTAATGTAGGTAGCAACAAAAACACCTGGAGCTAAATTCTCAAGCATTGGGTGTGGTTGAATAAATATATATAGAAGTGTTTGATAAATCACAAATTAATAGTAGTAGCATATATATATATATATGAATTACATGTGATCGAATTAATTAGTCTTTACTACGAATACTAGTCCAATAGAAGATAAGAAAAAAAGTGGAAGAAATGACACAAACAGTAACAGCAAGAGCATGTGAATTTTCTAAAGTAGCATACATACCAGTTGCAAATGCAACTACAGCTGCATACAATGCCAAAAGTTGCAAAACATTTGCTATACGATACTTCATCCTCAAAACTCGAACGTTAGTATCTTCATTGTAGCCTCGATATCTATTTGCCATGGTAAAGTAGCTGCATATAGCACTAGCTGAGAATGTAAATGCCAGGACATCCGAAATAGCAAATGCACGGAATGCTGTTTTCTTTATTAGAGTCGCCATCCCTTTATTAGGACTGTCATCGTTGTCGTCTAAACCTCCTGGCAATGTAAAACCAGCTGTGAACGAGACTGTCATTATTAGAGTAGCTACAACTACTTGTATTTCAGTTGACTTCATAATTTTTTCGATTTCTAGTTTTTCTTTCTTATCTTTGGCTTCATCATCATCATCCTTCACCGTCCCTAGTAGTAGTTTTGTCATACTCAATTCCTTTGTTTGACGTATTACCTCAAAGTCACAACGTTGTCCCAATCGTGCATTAATGCCGCACAAATCGAATGCCAATTTCACCTATATATTATATTTTATATATTAATAAAGAGCAAAAACAAACATATTTAAGAGTGAATACTACTAATCCTAACATGATTTTCTAATTTTCAATACATAACATTATTATTATTATTATTATTACCTACAAATGATGCAAACAAAACATAGCCTCAGTACAGAATCTAAATTTTGGAGACTAAATTGTATAATCATGGGGAAAAAATCATATATTATTATTATTATTATTATAATATTTCTCTCAATACTAACAAATAATATCTAATGCGATAAATTAACAATATCATTTTCTTTAAATATATTAGTTTGTAAGGATATCGTGTAACACCTCGGACTTCAAAAGAGCTAAATAGAGGTTCGTACAAGTTGTTTTAGTTTTGGGTCAACTTCAAACAACTGTATCTTTTAGCACAACACATAAAGAATTAGGTAGCCCATGAACTATCAAATCGAAGGTCTTTGACTCCTCTTTCCAACGCTGCCAAGTTTGCTTAATTTTGAGCCCGGAGTAAAAAGTTATGCCCGTTTGAGTAAAACCTCTCTATTTAAGGCATTTCATTCGCGTAACACCCCGAAAATTTCAAAGCTAAAGTCCGAACTATTATTTATTTGCATATAAGGACTTATAAGGTTATTCTTAAATTGCTCATATATGTAAAGATAAATCCTTTAGTGTGAGAATGATTTTGGATATCAATTAAGGTCACTAAAAACTCCTAGCACAAAGCTGAGTTGAAAGTTTTGATGTAAGAGTTTACTTGGGTGAACTTCGAACGACCATATCTCCTAGAATATAAAGAGTTATGTGACTCATAACCTATCAAATTAAAGGTGTTTGGATCTTCTTTCCAACGCCACCAATTTCGCAATAATTCGGGGTTTGAGTAAAAAGTTATGATCATTTTAGTAACCTGATATAGTGTTGTGACGAATTTGCCGACGGGAAAATATTAAAAAGGGTCATTTTTGTCTTTTTACCTCTAAGAAACCCTAAACAAATTTCTCGACTAATTAAAAGACCCCAAAATAATCAGATTTTCATCTCTTAATCCATCATTCTCTTCTCTCTCAAAACCCTAAGGAAAAATCAAAGTAGAAGACTCCATTCAAGATTCTTCTTCAAGGTAAGTTTTTCTCCAACGAATTCCATTCTTTCCAACTCAAATTCCTCCATACAATTATGAATCACTAATGAAAATCATAATTCTTGACCATAGAGATTTCAAGAAACCAATTAAAATCTCAAGAAAGATTTTCTTGATTGTTTACCTTCAAGCTAGGGTTTCAAGGCTTCTAATCAAGTTCTTCTTCAAGATTTTTCAAGAACCTTGTTCTTTCATGTATGTAAGACTATCCTAGTGTTGGACTAGTTAGTCTTCACGCCCTACATGTACTTTCAAATCAATAAAAGAGTAATCATGGATTCTACCCCTAGATTTGAGTATTCTTGAGATGAGTTAATTGTGAGTTCTCGAGTTCCTATTTCTTTTTAAAATTCTAATCCTAATTATTGAATTATTACATGTTATGCATTAACATTCTTGAGTTGAGTCGTTCATGTCCACAATTATGCATGAACCCTATGAATTGAGTTATAAATTTTTGAGAAGCTTTTTAAAGCCAACACTTGAGTTTTAAACTGAGTTTTTTTAGGAAGTACAAATGAGTAAATTGATTCATTCATGTGCATAATTCCGCTTGAACCCTACGAATTGAGTTATAAGTCTTGAGATTCTTTGAAAGTCAATCATTGTGTTTCAAACTGAGTTTTGAGAAAAAAGTTTAAAGGTTCGATCTCATAAAAACTTAAGAGTTTCTAATGTTATTCTATATATATATGTACCTATGTTAATTATTGGACGTGAAAGATAAGTTCATAAGTGCATGTTTTCAAGAAGGTAACATGTCTCATGTTTTGAAAACTATTTCAAGTAATGTAAGAAGTCCATTCTTTGTAATGGGTGAATTGAGCACAAAATTATATTAATTATTTTGAGAGTAGTATCGAGCACCTAGTTGGGTTAGAGTCTTTTATAACTCAGAAGTCCCATAAAACTACGTAGCCAGCGTAGGATAAGATAACATTGATTATTCATGCGACTCCTCACCACCTCTAAGAAGGCATATAGTTGGATCCATAGTCACGATATCATCATATACCCCCGGCAACGTATAAGATGGGCCCTTGCAACGTGCGGCGGGACGTTGTATCATTGTCAGGCTCATGATAGTGGTTGTCGGCTAGAGAAACTCCCCACAAGTAAAATATATTATTTGCATATTGCTTTCATTGTATATTTTTTTGTAATGCTTAAATGGTTTTCACTTCATGTTCATGTATTGATTCAGTTGAGTTGCTTTCAGCCATTCAGTTCAGTTATTTGTTACTCAGCCATATTATATACTCGTACATTTCATGTACTGATGTTATTCGACATGCGTCCTTTTATGATGCAGATATAAGTTTTCATGATTATCAACAGGCGCTTTGTTGAGATCATTCTACACTCTAGTCATCTTTGGTGAGCCTCCTTGTATTCCAAATGACTTCAGTGTTACTTTCCAGTTAGTAGTTTTGAGGTGTCGTGGGTCTTGTCCTGACATCTTTCCTTAATAATAGAGGCTTCATAGATAGACAGTTTTGGAGAGTCTTTCAGTTTCAGATATTTTATTTAAAACTTATGTTGTATACTCAGTATATTCAGCGAAGTTTTGAAATTCAATAAACTATTTTTAAATGTTTCTTTCCATTTGATGCTTATTCATGCTTGACTTAGTCTTCTACTTGTAGTCAGGCAGGATGAGGGTTCGCTTGGGGACTAACAATGGTTCTTGAGTACCGGCCACATCCAGGGTGTAGGCTCGGATAGTGACAATTCATTTGTGGAAGGGTATTTTGGACTTTTTCCTCACCCAATTAAGGGTCTAATAAAATGCTAAACCACTCTTGGTCGTTCCTAAACACTTAGAAAAATAAAAGAAGAGTTCAAGAGGCTAAAGAGCTAGGTTTTGAGCGTTCGTCAAGATCCTGTGGATTTTCGCTAAGAACATTGTTATTTCCAGGTATGTAAGGCTTCTCACACTGTTGGACTTGTTTATCCTCACGCCATACATCTGAATTTATCCACGAAATTGTTGTATTCAAAGAGTTCTTGAGTAATTCTTGATTTTTGTTCAATTCTTGAACAATGGAGGTTGTGAATTCTTTTGTGTTGTTGCTCTTTGGTAATAGTTTGATTTCCCAAAAGGATCATATGGAATTCCACTTGTATTAATGGTGGGTTTGAGAATCAAGAAGAGTTTAGGAGAATTTCTAGTTGGGACTTTTTTTGGCTTGAAAACTTCATCAGAAATCTGGACAGGGGTGTGGGGGCGACGTGTCACCCATAGTGCCAGGGCTTTTGCTCCGTAGTTTGGGATTTGATGCCCCACACAAACAGTACACCCCAAACTTTGGTCAGTTTAGGCCTTGACGCCCCACGTCAGTAGTACATCAGAGATTGTCTAGCCTATTTTCTTTCGTGTTTCATTCATGACGTGTTTCTTTGAGTCGTGACTACGTTCCCTTCTTGTATTAGCTCCTATAAACTCCACCCATTCTTGAGAGTTCCTACATGTCCTAATCACATGTCTTAATTTACATTTAAAATTAAAGTGAGTTTAAGAGGAAAGTTCAAGATGTCTTTTTGAGTTATTTTGAGAATCTTTTGTAATCAACAATGGTTTCAACTAAGTTTTGAGAAAGTAATTATGAGTAATGAGAAGAGTCGTATTCATGATTGAGAATGAATATAAGGGAACTAATTATTCCCAAATGTAAAAGTTAAACTTTAATTTCTAAATGAGTTTATGAGTCAAGAGATATTTCAAAGCACTTTTTTTTAAGAGGATCTTTTGAGTAATTACCTCAAATTGAGAAAGAAAATGTTTTTAAACATTGAGCATAAGTGTATATATATATATATATATATATATTATTGGGAGTAGTATTGAGCACTGATTTGAGGATGAGTTTAGACAACTCACATTACTCATAAACCAAGTAGCCAACATGGGTGAATGATCATTCTTTTTAGATGAAATCTTATTACTTTTAGGCATAGCTTAGTGGATCCACTTAGTTGAGGTTTTCTATACCCCGACAAGGTATATGAGAGTTCTGGCAGCGTGAGCGAGACGCTGTATCATCATATATCTGATGGTGATAGTTGTCGGTTAGAGAATCTCTCAAATAAGAGTAAATAGTATTTTATTGTATTTTTATACATCATTGAGTTATATCTTATGTTTTATAATGCTTTAAACATTACATCTCTTGTTAATGCTTTTGTATTAGGGTTGAGTTAAGATGAGTATTTCTCCTAGTCTTGTCAGCTCAATCATCCATGCTTTCAGTTTCCCTTTGCATGTTCATACATTCAATGTACTGATGTCATTTGATCTACATCTTATTATGATGCAGATACAAATGTTCAGAGTCATGAGATGGCGCTTCGTTGATACCATTTGCACTCTAACTAGCTTTGGTGAGCCTTATTGCTCTTTGGAGGACATCACACTTATTTCCTTCTTTTGTTGAGTTGTTGAGGGTTCTGTCCCGATATCTATCTTAGTACTAGAGGCTTTATATATAGTTAGAGTTGAAAAGTCTCTCATTACTTTTCCTTTTGTTGAAATGTTTTGAGACTGTTTTATAGAGTATTACTATTTTTGAACTTAATTATTTTCAGATAGTTGAATTGAAAAATTGTTGAGCTTAAATGTTTATAATATTATTTATAAGCTTGTTATGGTTGAGTAAGTCTTCCGCTAAGTAGTCAATCAGGCTAATGGTTCGCTTGGGGACCAGCAATGATTCTCGAGTGCCGGCCATGTCTACTGTATAGGCTCGGAGAGTGATATATCGGTTCCTTGATTTCTCCTAGTTAGTTGATCTTCTGTAACACTCCAGAAAAATTTTGAGCTAAGACTCGAACCGTTCTTCGTAGTAAGTGAGATTTTTGAAAGGAATTTAAAATTTCTTGAGTGTTAAGGTCACTAGATGTAGCACCTTAAGTTCTAATAGGAACAAAAGAGAAAAGTATTCAAGTCATTCCTAAGTTTTTCTCAAGTTTTGGTTCAACTTCAAACAACCATAACTTTTAGTACATGATGAGTTAGGAGACCCATAAAATATTAAATTAAAGATCTTCTCTTTCCAACGCCGCCGAGTTTGCTATGTTTTGAGTTTGGATGAGTGAGATATTCCCTTTTGAAGTCGGGCTGTCCAGTTAGGGAAAGTTACCCAAAAATAGTAAGGGGTATTTTGGTCTTTATGGATTCCATGCCCATAAATTCCGCATGGAATCCATAAATTGAGTATCATTGAGAGGAGTAGTATCTTCAAGCTCTAAGTCTTGAGTATTGAGTTACTAATCCCCTTTGAGATTATATTTCTAATCATGGTACTATTACATGTTACCCTTAAAGCCCTTGAGTTGAATTTTTCACGCCCATAATTTCACATGAACCCTATAAGTCGAACAGTCTTGAGATGAGAAGTATCTTTGAGTCCTTGAGTTGAGTAGTTCATGCACATAATTTCACATGAACCCTCTGAGTTGAGCATTCTTGAAATGAGTAGTATCATTGAAGTTCTTGAGTTCCATCTATGGCTATTGAAAACCTTGCATTGAGTCATTCACATCCATAATTCAGCATGAACCATATTTTAAGAAGTCTTTTTTACAAACGTTTTAACTTTGTTATAAGACTTAAACTTTGAGTTGAGTAAAGAGTAAGAGTAAAGTTCATTTTCTTTAAAATGATATATGGGAACTAAGTATTTCCAAGAGTAAATACTATATCTTCGTCATCTGGTCTGCCTTTTATCCATTTCTCTCTAGAGAAGGAGAGAAAGCAGAGACGTTTCAGTAAAATTTGTGATTATAAATTATATTATATTAATTATAAGTTTGAAATTTTAGTAGTTGCACTCTATTCGAGTTTCACCTATAGAAATTTTTTAACAAAAGTTTCAAATTCCAATACAATACCATACTGATGTTTTTTTTAAAGCTTTTAGTACTAATGAATGAATGGGTTGATCTCTTCCTTAATGGAAATGATTGCACGTGAAAGTCCTAGAATGAGAGGCTAAAGTGTCGCCAGTCTTTCACATTAAAATGCAACTAAATATTGAATAGTTTTGAAGGGTTGACTAAATATTAATCTTGTTCCTCCTTTTTGATTTTTCATTTAATTTCTGGTATCCATATTGAAGTCCGATAAAATTTAATTTTGCCTCGAAAAGTTTCATACTAGGGGTAAAACGTTCCCTAACAAATGTGAATATGTACCTAGCTAGGAGAACTCGAATCCAAAATCTTTGTTTAAGAATGAAGTAGTATCTATTGTTTCACCACAACTCTTGTTGGTATAGTACACCTTTGTTTCCTTGGTAACTGGAACTTACAACTTTAAGATTGGAAGTAATGAATGCTTATCATCCGAGTAACTCTCTCTTGTCGGAAAAAGTTAGGTCCTTGAATTGTTAGGAGTTTTTCTATATTTTGCATACTCGAACCCATAAGAAGTTTATTTAATCATTATATTTTATTATTACAAGAAAAAAAGAACCGAAGAGAGGAATCTTGAAAATTTAGATTTCAAAGGAGATTCACGAATTAACAATTCAACGAACCACATGAAATTGTAAAATAATTATTTAACATACTAAAATTATTTAAAATAATAAAAATATTTACTTAATATACTAAAACTACAAAAATAGAAAAGATATACTCATATATATATATATATTTAAATGGTATAATTTTGATACATTATATCTTTAGTTAAGATGAGGAGATTCAAAAATCTTATTTACGTGTCAACTAGACAAACAAATTGAAAGAAATTAAATTTGCGGATTATTAAAATGTACCTTCGTTATTGTCCGTGTACGAGACATTACTATGTCAAGTGGAGTCTGATTTTGTTTGTTAAATGCCATCTTCTTTGCTCTAGGATGGTTTAATATTATTTGCGGCACATGGTCCCTAGAGGCAGCAAGCAAATGGAGTGGAGTATTGCCTTCATTATCTGCCTCATCAACAAGGCTATTAAAAAATTCCAAGTCAAGTAACAGCTCGACCAACACTTTACGATCGTTCAATATGGCAACATGAAGAGCATTTTGGCCATTGCTATTAAGCATTTCCCAACAATCTGGGCAGTGGCTTAATAACTGAAATATCATGAACACATCATCTTCACTAGCTGCAATGTGAAACGTTGTCGTCCAGTCATTTTCACTGCCTGCCAGAAGGTAGGCTAAAGATTTCTTCCATCCCAACATATCGGAAACTATTTCTTTCAATCCTTGTTTAACAGCATAGTGCAGTGAATTCCAACCCCATTTATCAGGTTCTTCGCATAAAGGTTTATTCCATTGCCATAGTGATCTCGCGCATTCTGGATATATTAGTCAAATGTTATATATGATATATGCTGATAAATGAATGATTTTTTCGTTTAACAAGATCATAAAGTATGCCTGTAGGAGTATATTTATTGAATTTTTCTTAACCAAAGACAAATATAGCTTCTTTCTGTTAGTAGAGGGACAAATTTAATCATTTTCCATATATAATATGATGAAATCATCCAGGAGGTACTCACCCGTGTGTTCTTGAATTACAGCTGCATGTAGAGGTGTTCGATTGGATGGACCTGCAACATAAGTTGGTTCTTTGCAAACGTTCAAGATTTCAATCAAAGCATCATGAAAACCAGACTCTGCTGCCAAATAAAGTGGTGTCTCCCCTGCCTTATTGGCTGGGAAGTCGTGTTCAGGATCTAGTAATAATTTCACCAACATCCTGACAATGTCAATGTGTCCACCTCTCATAGCCTTGTGCAACGCCGTATCTCCAATGTCATCCGTCATCCTCACAAGTGTCTCTTTTCCTTCTACGCTAAGTAGCTCACTCACCACTTCACTTTGTCCTGCATCAGCTGCAATGTGAAGCGCAGTTTCATTTTTCTTATTCTTATAGCATAATAATGCCGGGGTAATCTTAAGGACTTCTCCCACGAAACCTCGTTGGCCAAAGAGAGCTGCCACATGGAGGATTGTGTTTCCCTTTGAAGTGACTTGGTAACCATTTTCTAATTCCTCCCTTTTCAGATGATCAACAAGTGAAAAATCACCATTTTCCATAATCCCTTTCATTGCAGCATAGTACATGTTTAGATCCATTATGTGTGGATATATCCAAGGTGTCACAAAAGTCTTCTTATTTCTCAAATTCTGTGCCCAACCAAACAATGTTAGACAAATGATTAAGTCAAAAGCATTGCATTTATCCAATTTTTTTAAAACTTACATACTCGTTCAAGTACACGTATAAAGCGCATATCCAAAAACTACTTGTTTGTGGAGAATCACAATCATGAAGAGGCTCTGTAATACTCTGGATTCATGCACTTAATTAAGAACATAAAGTTTCCAACTTAAGCATATTGCTTATGAACAACTTTAAATTTTTTATTTTTCTTTCTAATGTACCAAAAGAAATTACGCATAACATCCAAAAATAAGAGCAGCAATCTGAATCAAGTAAGAGAAGGGCATTCTGAAAATAAAATGGTACCCTGTTTCAATTGATTTTTCTTTCAAGTCCATTTAAAAGAAAATATATTGTTATTTTTTAACTTGTTCATTAATTCAAAATTAAGATTAAATGTCATTTTCATACATTCTACAACAATATGGATGTTTAGTTTAATAGAACAAGATTTAAAAGTCTTCATTTATTTTCTTAAATGTCGATAAATTAAATCAGACAAATAAATCGGAAAAAGAGGAAATAGTACACGACAAAGATAAATATACACAAGATTTTCTCACTCCAAGACAAAAACACAATCTTTATCAACAACATGTACTAAAAATCCAATCCTTAACTCATATTCATTCACAAAAAGCAAACCCCAAATGGAAAAAAAGAGGATTTAGGTAAAACACAAACATGGAAAACTGTAAAACTAAAGAAAGATTTGATTAGGTAGGTAGCTCTTCAACATACCTTTTGTTTTCTTTGATGGATAAAATCTAAATGACCAGTTTAACACTTGTAGGCCTTTTATTCTTCTTGTTTCCCTACAAGTCTAAAACCCAACAAAGATTCTTTGACTCCTTAGTTGGTAAGAACATAACATAAAGAGAGAACAATAATTTCTTATGCCATTCTCACACTTCACGACTCAAAAACGGAATTTTTATGCATGTTTACACACGTGGCATACTATTATTGGCTAGGAAATTCATAGGATGGACCCAGAGAGACACAGAGGAAGTAAAGAATTAAAGCAATCAAAGAGGACAAAGAAAATCTTGTAAGTTGAGAAACATATTTAAGCAATACACTCTTTCTTTTATTTGCAAAATCACATCGATAAAATATTTTACTTTGATAAAAATTAATGGGAGAAGGCACAAATACCTCTCTAGACTATGACCGAAATTACAGATACACCTTAACTAAACTAAGGTCTTATTATCCTTCTAAACTCATTTTATATATAATATTGTACACCTTTTGGCTTATGTGGCACACCCCGCGACTCCACACAATTGAGGCACGTGGGATATATTTGGATGTCACGTAAGCCAAAAAGGTATACAAAATTACAAAAAAAAATGAGTTCAGGCGATAATAGAACTTTAGTTTAGTTAAGGTGTGTCTCTGAAATTTGGGTCATAATCTAGGGAGGTACTTCTACCTTTTCCCAAAATTAAATAAACTATTAATATTAGTTAAAAACTAAAGTATAAAGTATAACTATTCCAAATATATATATAATTTTTCTCATCCACTCCACCATCTCCTTACCCCTTCCCCCGGATAATTCCCCGTCCTATTTTTTCAAATTCTTTTATACCTCGCCCTCTCTCCACTCCTTCCAAAAACGTTTGATATTACTTTTTTAAAAAATAAAATAAAAGTCTACCTCACCCCATCTCACCCTCTGCTCCTAATCTATTATTATTATTTTTTATATTTTTCTCGTTTTGTGTTAGATGTGTATATATATTTTTAGAAAATATTATTTTCTATTTATGTACCGAAGATAATAGAAATAAAAAAATTATTTTAAAAAAAGTTTTGCGGCAAGCAAAAAAATATATTTATCTAAAACAAAACGAGAAAAAAAGGTAGCGGAGGGTTGTGTGGAATTTTGTTTTTGTTTTTTTTAAATAAAATATTATCTAAATTATTATTTGAAGGGATGGGGAACGGGGACGAAACAAGAATTTTTTATAAAAGAATATCTTTTGAAAAAAAACTAAAAAATTGAGTTAGGGGTGGTACGGTGAGAGAAAGTCGTGGGGTCGGGTAAAAATATATATATTACATTTTATTTTATAATTTTTTTTTGGGGGAATAGTAATACTTTAATCTTTAACTTTAACTATAACTAATACTATTAATTTATGAGATAAGTGTCAAAAACACACCTAAATTATCCCCTAATCATACCTAAACTATTGAGAGTGTGAGTTTCATACCTAGACTATCACTTATTAGTTTGAGAAACACACCCTCATTGGTGTGTGTAATACACTCTCTCTTTTATTTGAAAAAACCTTGACACATGGCATTCCATATGGATAAAATATTTCATCTTGACAAAAATTAAATAATAAATTATTAATATTAATTAATAATTAAATATTAAATATTAAAGTATTCCTATCCCCCCAAAAATTATTTTTTTAAAAATAAAATTTAAATTGTTTTTCTTACCTCACTCCACTACCTCCTCCCCTCCCTCCCCCACAATCCCCCGTCCTTTTATTTTTTTTTAAAAATTCTTTTATAAAATATTTTTAAACATCTCTTTTTCTCTCTCGGCGCACGTTAGTGTGCACTAATTTGCACCTTGTCGGAAATGGGGAGGGGATGACCAAAAAGAGCTAACCAAAGGTACTGCGAGAAGGAGATACACCATAGAGTAGCTAGCAGCTCGACAGCTGGGCAGTTAACTAGGAGTGAAACAATTGAAGAAGTACAGATGCTCACACTGGACGGACTACAAATACAACTGATGGTTGATGCTAGTAAAGGGAAAGGGAAAACAAAAATGGAGGAGCAATGGCCAGAGCTCTCAAACAAAAGAGGAACTGGATCTGGGCTACAACAAAATTTGTTGGGAAGCAATGGAACAGTAACTCAGGGAAAACACCAAACAAAACACAGAGGAAGCTGGAATTGAGTGTTGAAGAAGTGAAGAAGCCATGGGCAGATCTGTTTGCTACCAATAGATTGACGACTCGAGGTATGAATCTAAATTACATTCCACCTATGATAGTGGATGGGGAAGAAGTAGTAGAAATTTTACCTGAGGATGTAGCTCAGGATGATGAGAAATGGGCTCCATCAATTAATAGTAGTTTATGTGGTAGGAACAACTCCAACTATTAGAGCCATATAGAGATTTATAATGGGACAAGGTACTTTCTCCACAAAATCTGTAATTCTATACCATGTAGATGGGTATTTTGTTGTAAGGTTTGCTAATAAGGAAGAAATGGATAAGGTGTTGTGCTCTGGACCTCACCACTTACTTAGAAGACCTGTTATAATGAAACCATGGGTGCCGTAGTTCAACTTCAAAGAGGAAATTCTCACCACCATTCCGCTGTGGATTAAACTCCCAAATCTGCCACTTAACTGTTAGAATTCAGTTGTATTGAGTAAGATAGGTAGTAGTTTGAGGAAGCTTTTGTATGCAGATGAATGTACAACTCAAGTCAGTACAATCTCGTTTGCCAGAATATTAGTGGAAGTAGATGTTACTAAACCCCTGGCAAAGGTGATTAAAATACAGGATACAAAAGAAAGAGTAGTAGAGCAGAAAGTCTGGTATGAATGGAAGCCAATATTTTGCCAGAAATGTCTACAAGTGGGGCATTCGTGTGTGGAAAAACTAGAGGCACCTATACAGTTCCAAAAGAAGAATCAGGGGCAAGTACAGAGGAAAGAATGGATACCCACTACAAACAATGAGCAATGATGTGATACTAAACAGGTTGAAGCAAACCAGCAAGAGCAATCAACTAAGGATAAGGATGAAGCAACACAGTTAAGGAGAGTGGCATACTGTAAGACATAGAACTTCTAATATAAGGGACTATAGAAATATACAAGAAGAAAGAGGAGGACAGGGTCCTACAGCAGGGGTCATGACTTATGAGAAAGGATAAATGAGTGGAGAAGGAAGTGGTGGAATGAAGATGACATCTTTGCAACCATCAATTCATGATAGTAACATGGAATGTGAGGGGATTTAATCAGGAGATGAAACAAAAGGAGCTGTGGTTGTTTGTGAGAAGGAATAAGGTGAACTTAATAGTAATCTGTGAGCATAGAGTAAGACAAGATAGAGAAAATCATATTATTAATAGAAGTTTACCAGGATAGGAGTGGTGTACTAATGCTAACACAAATATAAAAGGAAAGATATGGGTGATATGGAATCCAAAGGAAGCTAGTTTCAAAAAGGTGGCAGATGTTGAACAATACATACATGGTTTGGTGGAAATAGATAATACACAGTTTCAGTTTACTGCTGTGTATGGCTTACATACTATCAATACCAGGGCTTCATTATGGGCAGCAATTCATCAAATGAGTAGCCAAATTAATGATCTATGGTTGATTATGGGGGATTACAATTCTATACTAGCACAAGATGATAGAATAGTTGGTAGTCAGGTACAAGATGTAGAAATAAGAGATTTCAAGGAGTGTGTGATTGATTCCAACCTTATTGAACTGCAGATATGAGGGAGGAATTATACAAGGACCAATGGACATGTATATAGCAGAATAGACAAAGCTATAGTTAATGTTAAGTGGGTGAACAAGCTGGATACACAACAGGTCATTGCTATGGAGCCTTTATTTTCATATCATTCCCTTTTAAGATTGATACTGGATGAGCAAAGTGATACAAGGAAGAGACCTTTCAGGTTTTATAATTGCATAGGACAACATCCAGACTTCAGGGAAAAGGGTAGAAGCTAGCTGGCAAATTTTAGGAGGAGGCATGAAAGGGGTATGGAGGAATCTGAAAATGGTAAGGATAGAGATGAAAAAGATTAATCAAAAAGAGTTTATGGGAGTCTCGAAAAAAGTACAAACACTCAGAAGAGAGCTCATAGATACACAAAGGAATATGAAAGTAAGGCCAATATCACAAGACATCATTGATGAGGAAAAACTACTGAGAACTAAACTGGCAAAGTGGAGTATGATTGAAGAGAACATATATAAGCAAAAGTCTAGAGTACAATGGCTCAAACTGGGGGATGCTAACAATGCTTATTTCTTTGCTAGTATGAAAGGAAGGAAGGCTCAAAATCAGATCAACATGCTCACAAGAGAGGATGGGACTGTTATTAGGGATGCGATAGATGTTACAAAGGAAGCTGTGGGATTTTATCAAAAATTGCTAGGTCAATGCAATAAACACATGGAAGCTACACATCTTGAAGTTCTAAAAGATGGACCAGTCCTTACAAGAGAGCAAAAAATGGTCCTCATTCAACCATTCAAGGATGCTGATGTGAAAGAAACTCTTATGAGCAT